ACCATGCAGCTGGGTAGCATAGGCACTCCACCAGCTAGAGGTTACGTTAGGGAGGGAGGAAAGTCAGCAATGACATTAGTGATAGCATCTTCTTATAACCCCTGTCCAGCTAGAGGTTATGTTAGGGAAGGAGGAAGGTTAGTAATGAGATTAGTGATAGCATCTTCTTATAACCCCTGAGAGAGCAGCATATATACTATCAATGTCCAAAAATTGAATAAATGGAGATGGAAATGAAATAACTTAAAATGAACTGAAATCAAACTAATTGAGAACTTGCGCTATTATTTGCAACTGATGGGAAAGTATCTCATTCCCAATAGGATGGGAGGGATTCTTTGTTTTATTTAATCCCGTTTGAGTAACTAACAAAAGGAGAAAGCACAAATCCTAGACGCAGAACTGTTCTTACATGCTTCTTAATCAAAGGAGAGAGGCTGCTTAGCAGCTACTCACTGGAGATATCGATTCAGCTCTTGCTGGCTGCAACGAGACCAGTGGAAGCGATGAAACGCAGCTTGCACGAGCGGAGCCATGATACTCCCCAGGCGGACTTCATCCCCACATCTGTTCCCTTGGCCGTCGTGCTCCATGCCTAAACTGCCCCGCACAGGAGAGAGCCAGCACAGTTACATCGCAGGTGAACTCCGAGTGCCCGAGTGCTTTCACATCCCACGTGTCAACAGCAGTTGATTGCAAAAAGGTTCTTAAGTCCCATGACCCTCGTCCACATGAGCAAAGTCATGTGAAATCAGACAGGGCGAGATTGAAGCTACAGAGCTGGTCTGCAGCAGCTCCCACATAGAAGCACTGACCCTTGAGAGTCCTTTCATGTGATTAGCTTAATCCACTTTCAAAATAGATTAAAAATGCCTTCTTTGGACTTCTGTGCACATCCACGTTTATGAATAACTACAGCTAAATGAATCCATTTCTGGACTAAGGATCTAGTCCACCCTCCAAGAGTATTAACAGAAATTCATTCCCACTCCAACCTGGAGTTATTCAGGAGTTTATCTAGCTTCTTAAAAATCAGACCTTAGCTTATTTTGAAGTAATTTGCAGTTGTAGACAAGTCCTTTGCATGAAAAAAAAAAAAAAAAAAAAAAAGATGCTACACTGAAAGCTAGTTCAGACTAGCTGCTACTATTGCCCAGTAGCAACTCTACATTATTTAAATGTGAAACAGCCTGGAAAGTGTTGGGTGCTTTCCAGAAAATCACCCCATGTTACAGACATTTTAAACTTTTTTTGGTCTTTATTATGAATATATTTTCTCCTTCCCTTTATTAGGATCTTACACTGCATTTTTTCTAGGAGCACTGTTTGACTAACACAGGTGATCTCTGTCCATAATTTAAATGAAATTAACAAATTTGGGCAGAATATGATTTGAGGGATTACAAACACTCATCAGTGGTACCTTTTCTAAAGCTCACTGTGTATTCTTTTTAATCCTAATTCAAAAACTCTGGAATCAAATACCATCTGGGTATCAATTCTATGACCCTGTTTAATTAAGATACATTTACAGTAAGATTCAATAAACTTTGGCCTTTTTTTTCTTGTTGTTTAATGCCCTTAATAATTCTGATAAAACAAAGAGAAAGGGGCCTGCAGGCTTTCTTAGGGAAAACAGAATAGATTGAAACTGTTCAGAAAAAGCCTTCTGGGAACTGTTGTTCTACCAAAGAGAAAATGGGAAATCAGTGAGTGTTCTCTGCAAACAGTGATACCAAAATACTCCGGGAAATAAAATACTCTGGGAGAAACCAAAGCTGTGACAACTGCTGCACGGTCATTGGTTCTAATCACATCAACAAGTAAAATGATTGCATTTTTAACATGAAATATACAGAATAGTTGTATCCTCAGTGCTTGGCACCTTGTTTTGGTACACTATTGTATCCTTCAGCAGCAGCAGCAACGTATACAGATGATGTACTTATTTAGTGTGGATTGTTTTCAAGAATCAAGCATTCCACTGACTCAAGTCATGTTTCATCCCTATGAGTCCTTTACATTTCCACCAAGAGACTATAATACATCATTCAATCTACTCTCACAGCAGCCCCCTGGAATGTATTTTGGTATTAGTTCCCTTTTCCATTTGAAAGTACCAAAATATAAAGCTGACTTAAGACCATAGAGAAAGGCCTGAGAGATCTGAAACCTGAAGCCAAGGCCAAGCCCGAATATGGTTTCTTAATATAAACTGCATCTTTCCAATGCCATTGGTCTTTATCAGCACTAAAGACACTTTAAGGCAGGACATAGCATATCCACGGTTCTACTCACACATGTCCAGTTTCATGAGCCACCACAAATGCAGATGAAAAACCATCTTCATGGTTGAGAGTGCAGCTTCGAACAGGGTGACACATCCCAGTGACTGGAGCGTAGCCTGTGAGAAATACCACATGTTCTAGAAACTGAACAAGTATGGAAAGACAAGGTGGTGAGAAACTCTAGGACAAACATCTGCCTTCTGTTGTGACACAAATATAGTGTTGAAGTGGTCCTCCCAAGAGACCTCTGCTCCCAAACATTTAATAATGTGCTCCCTCATCTACGAAACAGACGAAAGCAGCCTGTTGAACAAAAACTATACTCCTTGCTCAACTTGCTCAACTTGCGGTTGTCACCTCTAGGACCATCTTGCAATTGCCTTCTCCCTGCCCATGAGGCAATGGGGGAAAATGACACCACACGCTGCTGTGTTACAGCTCACGAGGAGCTCGGTGTGGCTCCAGTCCTCCGTGAACGTGTGAGCAAAGCCCTGGCCCTGTGCTGACCACAGACATGGCCAACCCAAAAGGAAGGGGAAAGCTCTGAGATTTGTCCCTTCCAGTGAATAAACCTGATCTCACAGGAGGCAGAGCCCTGGAAAAAAGGAAAAAGTGGACAGCACTTGTCCCTGCTGTTCCGCACCTCTCTGTAACAATATTTCTTGGCAATCCTGCTGGAACATGGCAACAGCTTCGGAGACTTTTAAAACACAAAATCTATTCTTTAATCTTTGGGTATTTTCAGGACTGTTTACCCAGAGATCTCATTTGCTTGGCTTCAGCAAGAGCAAAGAAATTATCCAATAAATAATCCCATCAGTAAGAAAGAATAAAATAATAAGTCAAACAGTTACAACTGTTAGAATTGAAAACAGCCCTATGTGGCGCTCTTGGAGAAAGAAAACATTGACCAAAACTAAGCAAAAGATACACAACTGAACTTTGCATGACTGGCCTTGCTAAGCAATACACACCAACGCAAAACAAAACCTGGTGTACATCTTACCTTGCATGCCCGATGGACCAAAATCCTGCCTTGTGAGAAAGATAGCATGGTCATGATATTCTGCATGCCCCGTGTCAGGTTTCTGCTGCAGGTAGGCCCAGCGACACACGTTTTCCAGACTTTGCGAAGGGTTCCCAATTTCTATCAGACTCATAGACTGCACATGCGCAGGAAGAAAAAGACACCAGTAGTTATTTATTAAAAGCTTGGGCAATTTTTTTCCCCAACTTGTTGAGGCACTTGACTAAACATCCCACTTCCATTAAAAGTCTGTTCTTAATAAAGAGACAATTACACTTCAGAAACAAGCTTTGCTGGATCAAGAAAGTAAGAAAATAGCTAAAGTTTGTGGTTAGATTAAATGTAATTTCTGCATTTAATGAAGTCTAAGATAGAACAAAAGAAAAATAAAAAGATATAACAGAAGATGGGTATTTTAATTACAAAACTGCCATTGTATTGCACACTGTGCATTCTTATTTCTGTGCCACCCCGGCACCAGCTTCCAGCATCACCTCCAGTCTGGATATAGTTTCTGACAGAGCCATGCCCAGCTGGAACTGCAGTGGCTTTTGGCCAGTGGAGGCTACCCCAGCGTGGGGAAGGCAATGCCGAATGGGCAAGGGAAGCAAATGGTTCCTCAGGCACTTCTGTCGTGAAACCAGTCTGTCAGGGTTGTTTTGTCAGATCTTTGAACACTACTGGATGTTCTATTAAGCATAAAAACTAAGTGTACTTTTCTCAGCTGTGTACTTTCAGAAATGGACTTTCCCAATGTCTGTCTTTTAAAGTGAATTTTTATTAACCCATTCCATATCTGAAGATCATTCAGAAGGTAGCACACACAACTCTGCAGTACGCCATTCTCCCTTCAAACCGCACGTTACATGAGCCGTGGCTTAGCCAACTCGTATGAGCTGATGTGTGTTAGGTGCAGTGCGAAGGGCAATTCTCTTGAACAAGAATCATAGACTGATTTGGGTTTGAAGGGACCTTAAAGATTGAGTTCCAACCCCCCCTGCCATGGGCAGGGACACCTCCCACCAGCCCAGGTTGCCCAAAGCCTCATCCAGCCTGGCCTTGAACCCCTCCAGGGATGCGGCATCCACAACTTCTTCAGGCAAGAAAGAGAAAGGCATTTTAAAATCCAACTACGACATTTGCTTTTTTTTCCAAAATGGTTCTTTCTTAAGAATTCCCAGCTAATTCCACTTAATACTGTGCATTGATAAGACTTAAGAAAGTTTATTGTATGTGGGATGCTATAAAATGTATGACTAATTGACCCATTTCAGGCCTTCCAAGATTTGTAAGAACTACATATGTGAACCCTGGCTTTTTAGTTGCAAAAATTATATTACCATGACAACACCGTAATCATAACACAAACCACTACAATTTAGATGCTATACTGTACTGTAAGCATTCATCATTCCAAAATATTTAATGTAGGGCAAAACCTAGCCTGGGCCAAAAATAAGAGAGAAGTAATATAGTTCGTGTTTAAATACAGATGTATTTGATGTCTCCTCTAATTGAGTGCATGATGGAGTACACAGAGTATTGACTAAATGAAAAAGAAAATCCTCAAAGGGTTGTGGAAGAACAACTGGAATTGATAAAAGAAAAGTCTGCCAAACTGAGGTCTGATTTTGGCAAAACTGGGATATTACAATTCTGCAAATGTTCAGAAAAACAAATTAGTAAACCAAATAGAGGCTCAGTTTGGATTCTGATACCACTGCGGAATGAAAAAGTTGTAATATAATCCCACACTGGATCATACTGTTTCCAGCCATAATTCCCTTGGAAATTGAACTAATAAACGTATTTAAATGGTGGGACAGTTGTGGTGCGTTTTTTGCATCTTTGTATATTTATAAGAACAGACTTAAACAAACTTTGAGTGACTAATACAGGGCAAAATCCTGGCTCTTCCAGAAAAAATACTCTTCAGTTAAACAAGGTTTGACCATTATGGAAGTCTTTAGTAACATCCACCAGTGGTAAAACAAAAAAGCCTATTTACATAATTCTCTACCTTGTTCTCATTTCTCCACAGCTTCACAAGAGAAATCAATTCCTTCAAGGAGCTCAGTGAGAAATCTTACTGCCAGCTTCAAAAAGCAAAGAATGTTGTAAAATGAAGGTGAAAAATCTCAATTGATGTGTATCATTTGCTAATAGTTCTTTGTCTCATAATGACCTCCTGTACATCCTACCAAATGAAAATCCTCACATAAGATGTATCATTCATAAAACAAACAAAAAATATGAGCTATCAACATGCGCTTTAAGAATATCCAAATATTTGCAAAGAAATCTCTGCATAACCAGCAAACAAGCAGCGAATATTAAAAAAGCAATAGATTCTAAATAACCACTGTTTTATAGCTTTCCTCTGTCATATGTCACCTCTTCCCTGTCCCCTAAACTGAAACCTTTGCAGTGGACCCCGGCACAAAAGCAAAAGACTGGTCTCCACATGACCTAACACAGCAGTTTGCTGCACTCGTCGGATGAACGTCGAGTCTGCCAGAGACCAGATCCGTCTGCCCCAAGGTACCAGCAGTTCCCACAGTGTAGGGCACTGCTGCGTTGGCACCTGGCATGAGTCAACAACTGTTTTCACTGGGCACTGAAATCCACTCTGAGAGCAAAACCACCGGTTCAGTCCAAGCATCTCAATGTTTATTTATCAAAACAGTGATTTTAGAGTTTGTCTTCAAGCAAACAAAAAGAGAACCAACTGGTTATTGTGGAACATTGTGGAAGTTTTTTTGCATCCAGAACAATGGGGAAAATAAAGAATATCCCTTTGTCATAAGAGGGGAAACCAAGAACACACAAGTCTATAAAATACACCTCAGCTGACAGCCTGACTTCTTTGCCAATGACACAATTCTAACATCAGAAATGTGGCACATGTAAAATTGAGCCTTACTGCTTCAGTAGGAAGTCAATTATTCTAAGTGTCCGTGTGCTACAGATGTAACTAGCAAGTTGAGGTCTTGTGTCAGTGAGGAGGACTTCCAAAAAGTAAGAGGAAAAACTGTCTACCTGCTGAGTACTCAGAGTCCACTGAGCACTTTAATGGACTTTTAAATGGACAAAGTGAAAGGAGACAGAAGAAAAGAGATGAATTGTGTACAGTAACAAGGATTATAAGTAAAGGTAAAATCCCTCTTTGCCAGACTGCAAACAGAAGTTTGGGGGCCAGCAGGCTGCATATGGAGGTGTAGGTGTTACTGTTGGCCAGCAAAGGGCCCACGCTGCCAGGAACACGCAGGTCCTGCAGCTGGCCGGGAGCTCAGACCTGGCCGGGAAGGACCTCTTTCCAACCAGGACAGCAGGCCTGTGGAGAGCATTACTCAGCTGATCAGGAGAAAAAAAAGAAAAGTGCCAATGGAAAGAGAAACTTTCCTTCTCACAGCAAGAAAAGCAAAATATCTGTGGGCATTTCAGAGAACTGCTGATGGAAACAGATGGAGATGTTGGCCAAGAAGTGGGAAGGTCTCAGCTGGGAGAACATCCCCCACGTGAGGGGACACTGCAGAGGGTTATGAGGACAGCCTACCCTAGAGAACCAGACGAGATCCTTGCTCTGGGAGACTCAACATCTACTAATGCCTTCCATTTTCCTTCTTTTTTTTTGATTCTGCTTTCATTTCTTCTCTACTCCCTTCCTTAGATGGAAGCAGAAAAAAAACCTAAACAAAAATAGATGACAGTTGAGCTGCAACTACCATTTGTATGAAGAGGCAAAGCAGGGCAGTAAGAAATGGATGAAAGTCATTACTACCTAGATCCAGAGGCTTTCCAGCTTTCTTTGCTACCTGTCTTGTCGTTTGACAAGTTACCAGTATACCATCCAGTAACATGGTCTGTTCTCTGTTATGAAGACACTGAAGAACAAGTCATTTATGAAGCTGACTGGAAGGTCCTTCAAATACTTGTGGAGACTGTTTGCAAAGCAAGAAATGTGTCAAACCTTTTAACAACTTCAAATACAAAGTTATCTTAGAAGAAAACTGCAAAGTTAGTCTGCAGTCTACCCAAACTTTTAAAGAAAGTTCAAGTTGCCAGTAACATGTGAAAGACACACTGGTATCACACATGGAATGACAGCTTTCCTTAACCAACTGTTTTATTTGCCTGCCGCTTGACGTAACTGGGTACAATTCTGCAGCGGTGTTGATGAACAGGTACTTGATGATAAAAACACAAGAAATTTCAGCTGGTCAGAAGCTCGCAAGAAAAGGACCTTTCCTGACTCATCCATTAGGTGGTGCTCCAAGAGTGCCAACGGAGAAGCCTTTGCTCTTCAGCAGCTCCAGAAGGAGCAGAAACACGGTTAACTTGAGAGGCTTCAAACTATGGTAGCAGAAGTTGGACCATAGCAGTGCACACATTCGGGAAACAATTTAACATATGACTTTCCCTTCTTGAATGTGGAAAGTCTCTGCAAAACATGCTGTTTACATTGCTTCTACTTGGCATTTCTCCTGCTTATTGTATATTGGATTAGATCTTCTCTATTCTTTTCTCATCCTGAACAAGACAAGCAATAAATAAATAAATACAATTATTGAGTGTCCATGGTAACCAAACTAACAAAACCAGTTCATTCAGCAATCATTTTGCATTCAAAGGATTTGTAAAGTTTTCCTATGGCAGCAGTTTGTAAACATTTTTCAGTCTCTTATTCTGTATAAATGTAAGCAGATCAGGAATACAAAGTGCTGGTTATGCTGTCAGCCAGCTCCACACTCCTCAAGGCCCCAACAAAGCACCCTCGGAAATTATAAGTTGTGTGTCTAATATATAAATAAGGCAATTCAACTACTTAGCCAGATAAAAAATAAGAGGGACAGTATCTCCTCTTATCTTTATTCCCACCCTAAACATATAAAAACAGTGCAAAAATATGAAGAGCATCCAAAATGCTATATAATATGCAGATTTTGGCCTTGCAACTCAGCCTGTGCAGAATTGGTCACTGGACATGGCCAAAGGCTGGGATCAGGAACGCCATCTTCAGACACATTTGTATAGCACATTGATTCC